ACAATCAATTTTAACCCTAAACCATACAAATATAACACCCTAAACCACTAAAAACCCTAAAACCAATTACAAAACCCTCTAGTTGTTTTAACATAAAATCCTAAACCTAAAATCATCGAGCATGGGAGGAGCGTTCCGTATGATGCGCCATTCAAGGGAGGCATGTTCCATAGGACGCACCATTCATAAAACCCATCGAAGGCGTGTTTCATGCGACGCGCCTCCCCCCCAACTAAGGTGCGTCCTCTGCCGTGTGCCTCCTTCTCTCTCCTGAAAAAAAGTGTTAGATCGGGAAATAGTTAGGAAAGGGTGATTGATAAGTAGAGTTTTTTTAATATGGTGATTTTTTTATCAAATTGCCAAGCTTTTTTACCTATGAATATTTTTTTAATATGGTGATTTTTCTGTACACAATTGTTAGAACCATTTAAACCGTCAATTTGATTACATTATATTTTAAAATTTTCATCGCGCCAGTTATACATTTTACCAATCATATATATATTATTAATCTCGGTTTAGTACAAAAGAGTATCTGTTTAAAAGTAATTTTCAATCATTTGATATTTAACATTTACACATATGATATTTTTTTGTTCTTAAACCCGAAACCTCAAGGAATTACGACAATTTATTTTTCATCGACGTCGCTTGATTCGTGTAATTTATATATATTTTTTAATTATTGAAACTTCACTTATACTTTTTAGGGTAAATTACGTTTTAGTACCTAAATTTTCAATTTTGGTATGCTTTAACACCTAAATTGTAATATTTTTTTCAAAATCACACTTAAAGTTTAATTTTTATTTCATTTTAGTACCTCGTTCAAAATTAAACATTAATTTTAAATTTTTTAAAGTTTAGGTACTAAATGCGTTAAGTTGCGAATACTAAAATGAAACAAAAATAAAACATACTAAAACTAATAATTTAAGTACTAAATGTGTAGTTTCTAATACTTTTTAACTTATTTTTTAAAATATAATCTTTTGAAATTTTCATCTAAGTGAATTGATGATAATAAAAATAAATAATAAGTGAATAATTTAAATGGAATAGTATCATACTTTTTTAATAGTACGAAGAGATTATAAAATAATATTTATTTATAATTTTTTTATCATTTGATAACGTACATATAATTTATAAATGTAATTGTTTGAATTTAATACCTTAAAAAATTAATATTATTTTTAATCACTAAAATTATTCAATAAATTTAAGATCATAGTTGATGTGAATAAAAGGCTTTATAATAAATTAAAAATTTCAATTAATTATCTAATAACATACATGCTCTAATGAAAGATGGGATAGAAAATATTTAAGGCTAAACTATGCATTTAGTCTTAAACTATTAGTTTTAGTCTGTTTTAGTATTTAAATTTTCATTTTTTTAAAATTATATCTAATGTTTAGTTTTTATTTCATTTTAGTATCACAACATTAAAAAATTAACGTGTTTAGTACTTAAACTATTAGTTTTGATCTGTTTTAGTACTTCAATTTTTGATTTTTTTCAAAACTTAATGTTAAATTTTGAACATGATACTAAATGAAACAAAAACTAAACTTTAGGTTTTTTTTTTAAAAAAATGAAAATTTATGTACTAAAACGAACCAAAACTTATATTTAACTGCTAAACTCGTAATTTACCCAATATTCAACGAAGAATACACGTTGAGTTTGAAAATGCAAACTTCTGTTCTAGAGCAGGGTGGATTGGAATAAATTCCAAGGAAATTGCAATAAATTCTGTTGGCTTTGTTTTTCTGTCGTTGCGCGTTTTGTAAAAGTTGCTAACTTTTTCAAAGCCCTATGCAGAGAGAGCCGAGAAAGAAAGAGAATTCTTCTTTTTTATAAAAAAAAAAGTTTTATTGATGAAATAAGGCTTTACAATTGTTTTTTAAAAATCAATTAAATATTTTATTTTATTTTTTACTATAAAAAAGTTTAGGTCAATGGTGACTCCCCAGTCTAGGTCAGGGCATATCTAAGACACAATTGAGATTTATATAGGAATTTACAGATTACCCACCAAGAGTGACGGTGGTATGATTCGAACTTTACCTTACAAACTCAAATTCATGAATCCCAACCATTTTGTAATGACCCGCATCCTAATTATACTAATTTTATTAACTGTCACGTAAACACTTCTGTTAAATGTTAACGGCAAGTGATTATATTAAAAACATTTAAATAGTTTAGTGGCCATATTGACACAAATTTGAAAACGATTGTCATTTTGTGACTTGATCCTTAGTTATGTGGTCATTTATGTAGTTTACCTTTTTATATATTATATATTATAGTTAAAGATATAAATAAAAATAGACAAGTGAGGACTTAAATCTAGGCTAATTAAGAATATGATAACACTTAAATTGTTTAAAAATCTAATATATTATTTATAATTATATATATATATATATATGAAATTATATTTAAAATTAAATTAATTTTTTTAACATACATGAACTCACAAGCGTAATTTAAAATCAGTGTGAGAATTAGCTTAGTGGTTAAGGCATGTGCAGGTTAATTAGATTAATTGATTATTCTAAAATCTAGGAGAATTAAAAATTAAGAATTAAAGTTAATCTTGGTGATCTAATTGAGTATTCTAAGATCTAGGTGATTTAATCTATAAATTTAATACACGACTACAATAAAAGATTTTAAAGTTAATGCTCAACTTGAGGCATTAAACAAATTAAAAACAGAACCAGGATCAAATTGCATTAAATGAAAATCCAAGGAAACAAATCATAAACAAGTAGTGACCAAAATAAAAGAAAACAAAGTAGGGTGTCAACGTCACGAATATGCAACTTTACAATGACCTGTGTTATATAAATTTTATGAACTGTCACGTAAACACTTCTGTTAAATTCTACCTGCATGTGGCTATATTTGAAACCATTTATATAGTTTAGTGGTCATATTGATGCAAATTTGAAAATGCTAGTCATTTCGCCACCTGACTCTTAGTTATATGGTCCTTTATGTAGTTTACCGTATAATATATATATATATATATATATATATATATATATATATATATGTATATATATATATATATTCATATTATTTATCATATTCTAAATATAAAATATTTCTCATATAAAAGTAGTATATATTAATATTATTTGTAGTATATTTATATTATATATTAATATGTAAATAATATTTTTTATTTATTAATATAATTTATAATATATTTACATCATAAATAATATATTGATTATGAAACATTAATCTCAAGTGTTTGATATTTATTTATTTTTGTTACGATCTAATAAAAGCTCAAGTTTGTTGAATGGTGATGTTTGACATTAAATGATGTTATTGATTCTTTTTCATGATTTTGTCGATGTTTGGTGTTCTATTTTCCGTTTATTTTTAGTCGTTTTGTTGACTTTGGTCAATTTAAACGATTCTGTAACTTTTCCGCAAACAACACATGTTAATGTGTTTTGCTTTCTTTAAATATTAATTTAAAACTGTTACCGATTAAAAAAATTAAAAAAACAAGGTAGATAAAAAATAGAAAAACAGTTGATGTTTGTTTGTTCTTAAATAGTATAAAGTGATTATAAGATAGTAATTATTTAGATTTGTTTTGAAAACGTAGCTATTCGAATTTAAAACCGCATAGAAGGATAAAATTTAATTTTATCATTGGATTTAGGTCTAAAATCAGTTGACGATGAACGCATTAGTTGTGATTGAGAAATTCAGTTATGTAATTGGAAATTTAGCGAGAAGATGTACCCCTATGGAAAGCAATTCCATGATGACTGTGACATTCTCGCTTTGATTTCGTGACTTGACTCCAAGTCTTAACGTCTTCATCAATTCATATTTGTAATGCTAATTCATTTGTCTTCGTCAATTGATTGTAGAAGAAGGATGCACTGCACAGAATTTTCATAACCGAAATATACAAGTTTTGATTTGTGGTGGATCACGTGGGGGAACATTTTTAAACAACTTTTAAAAGTCATGTCCCTTATAAGGGACAAATGTGGAAAAACGAGTCCACGGTTAAGTTCTAAACTCAAATCTCAGACCTGCAAGTGTTAAAATTGACAAGTTAGTCTCATTGGAGAGCCGAAGACTAGTACCGGAGTATTCACGTTTATCATTATAGTCCCTTAATGAGATTATAAATTTTAATAACTTTATATATATATATATATAATATTTTGGTAATCATATATATTATTTTTTATAGATCTGATATAAATAAAATGTAGTATCTGTTTGAAGACTCAATTATTTGACAAAGAACGCTTAAATCTCTGCATACTTAGTACTCAAACTCGAGACATGAAGGAACAATAACAAATCTCTTATCCATGGAGGTTGTTTGGTTCGTGCACACACATATATATGTGTATATATTATTTAGATATAAATTAATAAAATAATTTGAATAAACTTTTAATTTACATTTAGATATGATGTCATGATCATATCTAAAATGAAATAAATTCAGTCTTTTTGCATTCATATTGTTAGTGTATTTTAACGTCAAAATAAGATTTAAATCAAATTATCTCGATATAATTGTCCTTTCTTGTATTATCTAATTAAAGTAACACTTTTAGAAACTTTAATATTTTAATAATTTCTATCATGTAAATTTTGAGATATTTCAATATTTGAATCATAAATATTTGTATCCTGTGATATTTTATTTTGTGTTTTAGATGTTATATAGATTTAAAATACGATATTATGATATGGTTATTTCACTTGGAGAGAGTCTTCCATAAATATGATTTGGTTATTTCATTTGATGATTAAATCATTAAACTCTAAATTAATTTGAGTTGGAATTGTATGCAGAAGGATGCATGGGAGAATGAGAAATTTCAAACCAGAAATTGTACCTATTTAAGCATGCTCTTTTTTTCATCATCCAACTACATCTTCAAATCCCCTCTTCCTACTTTCTCTTCTCTTTGGCTTGTTTCTTCTCATAATCATGAAGTACAATCCTTGCTTCCATTTAATTTCTCTTTTGTGGGTACAATGTTTCATAGTTTGCTCATCAGCTATAACTGTCAGAAATCTCACCACTGATCAGTTTGCACTTGTTCAGTTTAAAGATGGAATTGTGGATCCTCAAAATGTATTGGCCAACAGCTGGAAGACCTCTACTTCAGTTTGCAAGTGGGTTGGGGTTTCTTGTGGTCTCATCCACGAAAGAGTTGTGGCTTTGAATCTTAGAAACTTGAATCTTGCGGGTACCATCCCTCCCCAAATTGGGAATCTTTCATTTCTACTTTCTCTCGACTTGGGCGGCAACCATTTCTATGGCCACCTGCCTAAAGAATTGGGACACCTGCATCGTTTGAAGGTCCTTCGATTAAGCTTGAATGGTCTTAATGGAGAAATCCCATCGTGGCTTGGGAACTTACACAGAGTTAAAATGTTGAAAATAAGAAATAATAATTTCACAGGTACAATCCCTCAAACACTCGTCAACATGTTCAATCTTGAGATCTTGAACTTGGGATACAATCGACTATTTGGTCAGGTTCCATCTTCTATCTTCAGAATGACCTCTTTAAAAGAGATTTGGGTTGATCATAATAGTCTTTCTGGAAGCTTGCCCGAAGATCTCTGTCACCATCTTCCCAAGCTTGAAATTCTTCTATTAAGTGCGAATAATTTATCTGGTAATATTCCATCAAGTGTAGGCAAATGCAGCAACCTTCAATGGTTGTATTTGTCTATTAATAAGTTTAGTGGGACCATTCCAAGAAACATTGGAAATCTGACGCAGCTCAAAGAATTGTATTTGGGAGGCAATAATTTAGAAGGTATGGTTTTCTTTTTCAACTCCTTTTTTATTTGTATTGAAACTTTGCAAAGTAAAACTTCTTTGGCTCAATGAAGGTTAGTTAACACCTTGATGTCTCAACTATGTTTTGTAGGTGAAATACCTGAAGAAATTGGTAATCTTGTTAGTTTGGAGATGCTAAATATTCAAGTAATTGAAGGCCTTACGGGTCGAATTCCGACTTGTATCTTCAACATTTCTTCTCTCAAGCTTATTGATCTCTCCAACAATAGTCTATCAGGTACTCTGCCTGATGATCTGTGTCACCATCTTCCCAAACTTGAAGAGCTTTATTTGGATTCAAATGAATTCGGAGGGATCATTCCAACAAGTATTTGGAATTCAACCACGCTCCGAAGTATCTCTCTATCTGACAACATTTTAGAAGGTATGTTGTTTCCTTTTTAATACTTATCAAAACTTTAATTTAATTTATTTCATCCTTTTTGGTCATATATAAGTGTAAAGTACACAAATGGTCCTTCGACTATACAATACTGCTTTGTTGAATCCTTTGACTATTAAAAGTTACAAAAAGGTCCTCTGGCTATAAGATATTGCTTTGTTGAGTCCATCAACTATTAAAAGTTACTAAATGGTCACCCAACTATTCATTATGTTCAAAACTCATATTTTTCCGTTAAAAAATTGACGGCGGTCTAAATTGGACATTAACATACTGACTGAGATATGATAGTAGTTTGAGATTCTGAAATCAGATTTTATCATAACCCAATTACCAAATTAACGTCCAGGTCAATTTGTTGTCATTTTTTTAATGGAAAATGACCAGTTGGAACCTAATGAATAGTTAGGTAATCATTTTATAACTTTTAACAGTCAAGAAACTCAATAAAGTAATATCTTATAGTTAGAGGACCATCTTGTAACTTTTAATATTCAAAGGACTCAACAAAATAGTATCCTATAGTCAAGGAACCATTTGTATACTTTACCCTAATTCATAATAGATTGATAATATATCAATACATTTAAAAAAATTAAAGTAGAAGACTATAATAGTAAATGACAATACATTGTAGAAACTATTAATTCATAATAAATGAGTAAAAATTACTATAAATAAAGATAAATTATGTATAATAAAAGTAAGTAATTGATTATAGAAGACGATAGTATGTATCTCTAATTTGTAATAGTAAAAAGTTATATAACTTGCTAATGAAGTAAAATAACTATAATTAATATCTAATTGGAATTATGTCCCGCACTTGATGTTCAAAAAATGATCCTTTGGTTATAAAATGTTGTATTGTTAAGTACTTCAACTGTTAAAAGTTACAAAATGGTCATCTGACTATTCATTATGGTCCGAACTCATCCTTTTTCGTTAAACAATTGGTGATTGCCTAAGTTGGACGTTAACATGATGACTGAAATATGATAGTGATTTGAGATTATAAGATTATATTTTATCATATCACAGTCAGTAGGTTAACGTTCAACTCAGAATATTGTTACTTTTTTAATGGAAAAGGACGGGTTTGGAATATAATGAATAGTTAGATGATCCTTTTATAATTTTTAATAGTCAAAGGACTCAACAAAGTAACATTCTATAGTCATGTAACCCCCACAGACCGATAAGGGTAGCCCGATCCGATCCGGGAAGTCACATTAGGGCCACCGGAGCGACCCACTGTAAAAATAGCGGAAAATTAAAAACTTTTTATCAGAACATGTAAACTTATAAAATCAGTTTTCACTATTTAAAAATAAAACAGATTTCCAAACTCGTATATAAATCAAAATACAATTACATGCCCCCTAATCACATGTACCATACTCTGTAACAACGCCGAACGAACTCCCTTACTGAAGTCAATAGATGCACTGGTACAATTCTTTTAACCTGAAAAGGTGAGTAATAGAGTGAGCTTTGGAAAGCTCAGTAATACAGAACTACCAGAAGATGCTGATGAACATGCAGATACAGATAAACGTATTTTCCTTATTGATTCCGATATTTACAGATTTCTTTGGTTGAGCTGAGGTTCATTGATATCGCAGGTAGTGACAGATAATATTCATTTCAGATAGAAATATTTCGGATGTCTAGGTTCAGGAGATCAGAACAGGTTTTCTAGTGTGTTCCCAAAAACCATGTAACTTTTCAGATCTTTTTAAAACATATATATATATACCCCCATCCAACAAGTCCAAATTGTGTAGGTTCCCCAGAACCATACACCCACTATCAAGTCCAGTTGGCCCTGAGCACACAGCCGAGGAACCGGTAAATAAGGCCCTGAGCACATAGCCGAGGAGCCTCCAGGTATACTTCCTCCAATATTACCCCCCAAGTAAAATATGTCCGTCCGTAAACGGATATATCAAAAATCAAAACATAAATCAGGTCAAGTATCATATCAGAAATCAGGTCAAGTAACAGATCAGAATTCAAGTCAAGTATCAGATCAGAATCCATGTCAGATATCAGATCAGAATCCATGTCAAGTATCAGATCAGAAATCAAATCGAAAATCAGGTAAAATATTCATGTGAGTAGGGAACACACCAGAATTTACAGATAGTATTCAAAGATATTGGATAATCTTAACAAGTAGGGGAACACGGATCTTTAGTATACAGATAGAATATCGGAATTCAGAATCACTATTGAAAGAGTTCAATAACTGACAGAATCATCAGTTATTCATAATGTGACTTGAGCTGATAAGGAAGAAATGAAGGTTCAGGACATTTATATTCTATGTCGGTTGATCGGATTATCAGACAACTCTTACATGAATAGTTCCCAGAGCTAATGCCTGTCGATTGGTCAATTCATTGTTATTCCAGGGTATTTACTCTTTAATACCACAATTCTTGTCCATAGACCATTTTCGGAATCATCGTTGAATAGATCTTCCAATGTCTTTATTTCATTTCCACACTTCCACAATATCATGAAATGCTGACGTACTTGATTAATTTGTTCATAACCTATTGTAATTGTACACTTCGTAAACTCATCAGAGTTTCCAGACTTGTCCAAATCACTTACTAAATCCTCAGTCATTGAAGTTACCTATTTCATTTAGCAGTCATCTCTATTCCAGTTACTTCAGGATTTTCCAGAGTAATTCAAACGTTCCTGAATTTCAGATACATGTTGTACTTCTATTCCATTCAATTTGGTCTTCGTGGTTGATTGTCGAACAAACGTCCAATTCTTAGTACTGAATACAATCTAGAGCTGAGTTGAATACTTCCAAAATTTATCATCGAGCCAAACTTGAGAAGACGAACACATGTTCCAGTAATATCTATATCATTCAGGTATTGACATAGCTTTAGGGTTGATCTACTCACTTAAATTGTTTTCCATTACCTTTAAAGATAGTCCAATACCTATGCTTACTTAGATTCCTTAATTAATCCAAGACATTTACTTAGTATAGGCCATAAGGGTATTTTGGTCATTTTTGGTGTTCAGTTTTATTCCATTCATTTCAGAGCTCGAGGATATCCAATCATTCCTGAGCTTGGTGATATTCTTGGGTCATTTCTATTATAGGGGTATTTTGGCCATTTTACAGATCCACGGTATTTCAATCTTTTTCCTCAATCCGATCTTATTATTTAATTCCAATTTATTATCTATTCCAGTCCGTTCGAACAATTCTGATAGCAGAATACCCCCGATAAATTACTCTTCAAGTATTTACTCATTATTTGAATATTTTCAGGTCAAGTGTCTTCTCAGACTTTACAAACGGAATATCAAGAATTTTCTTGTACTAAGTCGGGATCTTAACAATTAAATCCGTACTTAATCGAGTTAAGTACGAATCCTCTAAGTATTTTCTCATTCCGAGTCAACTCAGACTATTCTACCTCTTAAGGGCATTTCCGTAATTTCTTAACCAGAAAATTTTGATATTAGCTCTTAACGAAAATAAGTATAATTTAGAGATCCTATGATTAATTGATTTCTTGAACACTCTCTGATCTTGAAATGATTCCCTTAACAGACTTCTAGTATCCTTCACAAACCCTCATAAGACTAAAAACCGGTTATCCGCATTTCCTAATCAAAACTAGCATTTCTTATGCACATCAATAGTTTTTACCAGATCAATATATCTTTTCAGAGTTATTAACCAACTTCCAGGGACAATTCTTATCATCTTACAACATAAGGGTATTTTCGTAATTTTACCCTACCAGATTATTCTCACAATTTCTCATCCAAGTACTTTTAACATTTAACCTTTGATGAAATAAATTATAAGTTGCAGATACAGGGCTGATTTCTTTATCACTAATCACAAACTTATAATTTAATCTAACAATTCCTCAATCTCTTATATTAGTCATTCGATCCGTATTCAGTTACATAATTTCTACCATATTTATATCGAGTGAATAAATTATTCAACTCCACAAAAGTGACCAACATTATCTTATTCATGCATTTACCAATATCAACATGTTCCATAAAGCATAAAGAGGTAGTAAAGTATTACCTCGATTTTCGTGCAATACTGATCGACCATAAAAAATTCCATTCGAACGCCTTTGATCTTCAATTCAACTTCCAATAATTCCTCAGATACATATCAACATAAATTATATCAGAAACGAAGCTTAATTACGATAAACGGATCAAATCGGGTGATAAATTAGTGAAAGACGGCTTACCGGGTTCGAATTTGGTGAAACGGACTTCGGATTCGGAATCAGGACGTCGAAAGCATAAAATATGACTTTTCAGAAATTTGGAATATTCGGTCAAAATCAAAGTCAACGGGTTTGACCGGCAATTTCGAGACCTTCAGGTTCGAATTTCGAAAAACGAACAGCGGAATCGGATTTGGAACGTCGAAAAATGTCAGGATAGGTATACTCGGTCGAAGTCAAAGGTCGTTTAATGCCCGATCAAAGCCGGTCAAAGTTTTGGTCAACAGTGGTCAACTCCGGTCAACGGTCAACAGGTCAACGGTCAACAGGTCAACGGGTCAACGGGTCGGGTCAACGGGTCGGGTCGGGTCAACGGGTCGAGTAAACGGGTCGGGTCGGGTCAACGGGTCGGGTCGGGTTGTGACCGGTCAAACCGGTCAAAACAGTTTCAAAACCGGTCAAACCGGTCACTTTTCCCTTCCCCACGCGCAGTGGCGGCGCGTGGGGGCGCGTGAACAGTGATAAAATCCCGGAAAAATTTCTAAAAATTATTTTGAGCGATTTCGAGATACTTACAAAGCTCGGTTCACAATTTTGAACGGCGAAGAGCTCGATTTCAACAAATCGAAAACTTTAACCGCTTCACCTCCACACGCGCCGCCGCCGCCGGAGAAAAGGGAGGACACCGGTGGACTCGGAACGGCACAAGGAACACGATGGTGCGGGAGGTTTCGTAAACGGATGATCCGATCGTTGTGAATCGATGAAAAACCAACTAAAACCGAGTTATTACCGACGATACTTCCGACTGAAATTAACGACGAACGGAGATGATTCACGACGAAAGGTTTGAGGGGTTTTGTTCCTCGGTTGACAACGAACACGATGGTGGTTTCGGCTCGTCGATCGGAGGTCGGACGGCGAGTAGATCGGAGTTGGAAGTAGGGAGAACGGGAGAGGAAAACTGGAAAATTTTCCAGAAACATACGGGAGTTTGGGGGGTTTATAACATCTCATAATTAAAAATGGCTAAACCAAGAGTTTAGCCACTGAACTTCCTGCACTTCTTAAAACGGTCTGTCAACTTTGAAATCTTACAATTTAATCCCTTATTTCTTTCAAAATACCAAATTAAATCCACCAATTTATATTTTCTTAAATTTAGCCCCTAAATTGGGGTGTTACAAGTCAAATGACCATTTTATAATTTTTAATAGTCAATTGACTTAATAAAATAATATGCTATAGTTAGAGGACCATTTGTGTACTTTGCCCTGAAAACACTCAATTTCATACTTTATCATGTGTTTTACTAGCCTTACCTCAAACTTCAACACTTCACAATTATACCCATTTATTATTTATCATTCATTTTTGCCTTTTTAATTATAAAATAAAAATAATAATCACTTTAAAATTAAATTCTAATTAAATTATATGACTTTATATCAACTTAACATTTTAAAATCATATTTTTGATTAAGTTAAAATTATATAGCAATCTTGAGATGAATTCATAAAATTAAATAACTACTATTATCTAGAAGGTTTCAATGGGGGAAAACTGTTTAAAATATAAAAAAAATGATTCACTTAAAATTAATAAACTAAAATTATGTTTAAAATATTTGTCATATATTTGTTTAAAAATTATATTTAAAATAAATAAATAAAAAAGAAAATATAATTATCATTATTGACATTTTAAAAAAATATTTTTTTTATATATTTAATATATGCTTTGCTTTTCTTCGTCCACAAATTTTATTTTTATTTGAAAAAGTTTAGCAAAATAAATATATAAATAAATAAATAAAAATGGTTATGTAAATATTTTGTAAATTTGACATTCAATTAATGAATTTTTTAAGTTGAAAAAGTAATGTAAAGATTGGCTAGGATCTCAGTGTTTAGTTTGAATTGATATATATACTAAATGATGCAGTTTTAACAGGAAACTTGCCTCCCATGACCAACATTCCAAAGCTTGAGAAGCTTACTTTGCGGGCAAATAAACTCAGCGGAAACATTCCCAACTCTATCTCCAATGTTTCAATGCTCAAGGTTCTAGATTTACAGCAAAACTTCTTCTCTGGCCCAATTCCAGATACGCTTGGCAACTTAAGACACCTTCAATGGTTAAATATTGGATTCAATAATTTGACCACAGAATCTGCTACTCATGAGTGGACCTTTCTTTCTTCTTTGGCTAATTGTAGGAATTTGACATATATAGGGGTATCGGGAAATCCATTGAAAGGATTTCTTCCTACTTATATTGGGAACCTTTCGTCAACCCTTCAAAACTTTTTGGCTTACAATTGTAAGCTTAAAGGTAATATTCCTATGGAAATAGGTAACTTAAGCAGTATATTGTTTTTACAGCTTGGAAGCAATCAGTTGAGTGGATCTATTCCCACATCAATAGGACGGCTGCGAAATCTCCAAGCTTTGCGTCTTTCCTCTAATAAATTACGAGGGCCCATCTCACAAAGCATATGTGGTTTGGGGAGATTATACGCCTTGACTTTATTGATGAATCGGCTGCATGGACCTATACACATTTGTTTTGGTAATTTGACTTCTTTGAGGTATCTTGGCTTGGCTTCCAACAGACTGACTTCTCCAATACCTTCAACTTTGTGGAATCTCAAAGATATCTTAATATTAGATTTGTCATCGAATTACTTCAACAATTCTCATGCTCTTGATGTTGGAGTTCTGAGGAGTCTATTGAAATTGAATTTATCAAGGAATCTGCTCACCGGTGATATCTCATCTTCAATTGGGGGTCTTCTAACTCTGGCTTCATTAGATTTATCTAATAATAAATTACATGGTCATATCCCCCAATCACTCGGTGGTTTGATTAGTTTGGAATTCTTGAATTTAAGCCATAACAATCTCTCTGGAACTATTCCCATGTCTTTGGAAAAGCTTTCATATCTGAAATATTTTAATGTGTCTTTCAATAGACTTGAAGGAGAAATTCCCGACAATGGATGTTTTCCAAACTTTTCCAGCACGTCATTCATGAACAATTATGCACTTTGTGGTCAACCAAGATTGCTAGTCTCACCTTGCAAGAAAAACATCCACAAAAACTCCAAGAAGATATTGCATGCTTTAAGGTACGGCTTACCTGCATTTGGGATTGTCATTGTACTAATAGTCTTAACTATTATGTACAGAAAACGCCAAAGTAGGAGTACAACTCTACCAATTCAGGATGACTCGTCGATTTTGAACACATGGAGAAGAATTTCACGTGCTGAGCTTTCACAAGCAGCCAATGAATTTGAGGAAAGTAATTTACTTGGTTCAGGGAGTTTTGGATATGTATATAGAGGAAGGCTTTCAGATGGAATGGAAGTAGCAATAAAAGTCTTCAATTTGCAGATAGAAGGAGCATTTAGGAGCTTTGACATTGAATGTGAAGCTTTGCGTAATATAATTCATCGGAATCTTGTAAAGATCGTTACTTGCTGCTCTAATGTTGAGTTCAAAGCCTTGGTGCTTGATTTCATGTCTAATGGAAGCCTTGAGAAGTGGTTACATTCTGAAAATTGTTCTCTTGATATCCTACAAAGGATGAACATAATGATAGATGTTGCAACAGCTCTTGAACATCTCCATACTGGACATCCAACACCTGTAATTCATTGCGACCTAAAACCGAGTAATATTCTACTTGATGAAGACATGGTTGCACATGTGGGAGATTTTGGCATTGCCAAATTGTTGGGAGAAGGAGATGTAATGAGACAAACCGTGACTCTTGCAACTATCGGCTATATGGCACCAGGTCAATTTTTTACTTCTTTTTATGATCATTTTCCCTTTTTTCATTTTATATTATTTCATGTGTACGTATATATATAATGAGATAAGCATTTTAGAAATAATTAAGGATTAACTGCTCTTTGATTGTGCTTGAAATGCAGAATTCGGATCAGCAGGAATTGTTTCTATAAAATGTGACGTCTATAGTTATGGGATTGTCCTAATAGAAACTTTCACAAAGAAAAGGCCAACTGATGAATTTTTTACTGATGAAATGACTATGAGAGATTGGGTGAAAAGATCATTGTGTAGAGGACTGATAGATATTGCAGATGCTAATATATTAAGAAGAGAGGATGAGTACTTTGTTGTTAAAGCAAATTGTATTGCATCTATCATGGACTTAGCTTTGGGTTGTTCAACTGATTCACCGGAAGAAAGAAAAGATATGAAAGACGTTGTTGTTGAGCTGAAGAAAATCAAACAAAGGTTTCTAAACGACATCGGACATGTTTAGTAAAGATGGTGAGTAATGAGTATGGTTGTGATTATTAATTCACTCTTAATTTTAGATTCATTAAACATTTTAATTATTATAACATCCATGTGTATGATGCTTTTCCTATATGTATCACACATAGATTCTGAAAATTAATAAACTAATTTACTCTGTATTTCTCACTCAGTTGCTCTAATGTATTAGGGCTCTCTCTGGAGTTCAAGCTTCAATTGCAAAATCAAGATGGACACAAATCAAAAGAGCAACAAACTTTTCTATCAATTAGAATTTATGTTAGCTTTGGGGTATTAAATAATTTTCTTTGATAGTTTGGATTTGTTTAGTTACATGCTTATTTCATAAGTACTCTATAATTTTGTTTTAATATTTTCCTAATATTTTATAGTTGTATGGATTCGGTATTTAATTGTCCATCGGTTCTGGCGCTTCTCCGTTAGGCGTGGTGTTTGGTGTTGAATGCGATTCGGTATTTGATGGTTTTTTTGTGTAGAATGTGTCGGTTCTTCGTGGGAGGTAACGTCAATTAGGGATGGCAATGGGTCGGGTCGGGTCGGGTTTTTGGGCCACCCGACCCGACCCGAGAAGAAAGGGTTCTCCACCCGTGACCCGATCCGACCCGACAAAATTAATGTTTCACCCGACCCGACCCGAATATATGACTTAGAAACCCGACCCGACCCGACCCGACCCGAAATAAAAAAAAAATTTAATTCAATGAAAACAGTGACTTAATTGAAAAAAATTATATATGGAGGGATATTATTGTAATTATCCCTAAATATAAGATAAATTATATATATTTTTCGGGTCGGGTCGGGTCGGATTTTTTTTACCCTAAACCCGACCCGACCCGACCCGAACCCGAATTTTTTTAAAAAAAATCTGACCCGATCAGGTCGGGTCGGGTCGGAACCCGTCGGATTCGGGTTGAGTTGCCATCCCTAACGTCAATTGATTCTTCAAAATTCCATTGTTTTTGTCATCTTCTTTTCTCCCAAAGCGTTTGTTCGTGAATTTGTCTAGCTCGTGCTTCGATCTCTGGATCAAATTCTTCTAATGTGCTTGAGTTATGCCTGGTAATAAAAAAAAAACTAAATTAGTAATTTTTGTAGAAGTCCCTGATAACATCGCTAATTTTGATACGCGTCGTATAATGTCAAAATAATAATTCTTTAATCTCAAATAAATTTAAAATATAATAGTATAGTGAGAAGAAAGGTCGATCTACAAAGACTATGGAAGATGCTGATGAAATAGTCTTTGATTTTGATCTGGCAAAAATTACAAATAAAATATAAAAAGGGGGTTTGTCGAGAAATTGAATAAGAAAATAAAGATTTAAAGAAATTGAAATAAAGTGATTAAAATTCAAGATAATTAAAACAACCCCAGGCTTTCGTTTTTGCCTCAAATTCCGACCATTGAATAAGATTTTAGCTTTGGATTCATGTCAGTTATAGCTTACAGGGCTCAACCCTTGTAACGTGTTTTTCTCTCTGGTAAACTGACAACCCAAAATCAATCTTTGAATTTCAGTCCCTTTGTGAACTAACCACGACAATCGTTGCTAGTGCCAACTTAATTAAAATATTTGGAAATACCCGACTCATACTATATCGTCTTGATGAGAATCGAATACGATCTCAATTTCTTTTAGAAGATCGCCGTTAAGAGTGTTCATAGGAAATTAAATATGCTACAAGCCGATCCTTCCTCCCAACTGTTAATCGAAACCGCAATCAAGTCAACATGCACTTTCTGAAATGAAAATGATTTTGATTTTAAAAAGATGGTCGATTGCCAATCCTTGATTCTAAAAAATAGAATGTAACCCGAAGGGTTTTAGGTGTTTTTCAATTCTCACGATCGGAATTGAGTCATTTCTTCAGTCTTTGCCAATGGAAAACTTAGCTAAGCATGATTAGAAAACATACTTAACATTTTAAAAGAAAAATTAAAGAAAAATTTTAAAATAAAGAAAGTGAAATAAACCAAAACAAGAATTTTATAAAACTAGAGAAAGAAAGAAACGAGCTAATTTGAGATATGTTTTCAGGCTTACCCCGATGGTTATTTATAGTCCTCTAAAATCCTAAAAAGTAGCAAAAATGAAAATAAATAATCCCTTAGAAATTGTTTGAATTAAATCATAAAAACAAAGATAATTCCTCATTTGAAATTCAAATTTGCAGTTGAGTCTCCCGTCCTCACAAAACTGCTGAGTAGACCTTCTAGAAGTTGCTGACTGGATGTCACATTAGACACGGTCATGCCCCAAGTCATGCTCACTAAGCTGACCTTGATTCCGGAAGAAGAAAAAAAGGCAGTATTGCGTCATTTAAGCGTTGTTTCCAGAATCCAGCATTTTGTACAGAAAATAAATGAAAATGCCCAAATCAACGACATAAATTAAACGAGTAATTAACAACAAAATATTAACTATTTAAAGAACTCATCACCAAATTAATTTGGTATCCTCGACTGTAATGGCAACACCGTGGATTGTCACATAAGTATCGTCAACTGAAACATCAACACCGTAATGGTTAATGACGAAAAAAAGTTGGTCAAAGGGTCATATTGACTTTATTTTCTGAGTTAGAAGGTTGCATTGAGAGAGAAAAAAAATAATACGAGGGTCACATTAGTTTTTTTCTTAAAAAATACAGGGACATTTGATACCTTTTTGTCTAAAATAAATATAAAATGATATTTGAAAGATCTATAAAGACTACATCTTAAATATTACAATCAAAACGGTTTAAGCAAGACTTGAGCAAACACTAATAGACCACATCAAAAAAATTTATGTACAGAAAACACCAAAGTAGGAGTACAACTCTACTAATTCAGGATGATTCATCGTCTTTGAAAACATGGAGAAGAATTTCATATGCTGAACTTTCACAAGCAACCGACGGATTTGAAGAAAGCAATTTGCTTGGTTTAGGGAGTTTCAGATATGTATATAGAGGAAGACTTTCAGATGGAATGGAAGTAGCAATAAAGGTCTTCAATTTGCAGATAGAGGGAGCATTTAGGAGCTTTGACATTGAATGTGAAGCTTTGCGTAATATAATTCATCGGAATCTTGTAAAGATCGTTACTTGCTGCTCTAATGTTGACTTCAAAGCCTTGGTGCTTGATTTCATGTCTAATGGAAGCCTTGAGAAGTGGTTTCATTCTGAAAACTGTTCTCTTGACATCCTACAAAGGATGAACATAATGATAGATGTTGCAACAGCTCTTGAACATCTCCATACTGGACATCCAACACCTGTAATTCATTGCGACCTAAAACCGTATAATATTCTACTTGATGAAGACATGGTTGCACATGTGGGAGATTTTGGCATTGCCAAATTGTTGGGAGAAGGTGATGTAATGAGACAAACCATGACTCTTGCAACTATCGGCTATATGGCACCAGGTCAATTTTTTACTTCTTTTTATGATCATTTTCCCCTTTTTTTCATTTTATATTATTTTATGTGTACGTGTATATATAACGAGATAAGCATTTTAGAAAAAATTAAGGATTAACAGTTATTTGATTGTGCTTGAAATGCAGAATTCGGATCAGCAGGAATTGTTTCTATAAAATGTGACGTCTATAGTTATGGGATTGTCCTAATAGAAACTTTCACAAAGAAAAGGCCAACTGATGAATTTTTTACTGATGAAATGACTATGAGAGATTGGGTGAAAAGATCATTGTGTAGAGGACTGATAGATATTGCAGATGCTGATATATTAAGAAGAGAGGATGAGTACTTTGTTGTTAAAGCAAATTGTATTGCATCTATCATGGACTTAGCCTTGGGTTGTTCAACAAATTCTCCGGAAGAAAGAAAAGATACGAAGGACGTTGTTGTTGAGCTGAAGAAAATCAAACAAAGCTTTCCAAACAGTATCCAACATGTTTGATAAAGATGGTAAGTAATGATGATGGTTGTTATTATTAACTCACTCTTAACATTGGATTAATTAAACAGTTTAATTATTATAGCATCCTTGTCTATGAAGCTTGTCCTATATATATCACACATAGATGGTGGAAATTAGTAAACTAATTTACTCTTTTTTTTTCACTCATTTGCTCTCATGTAATAGGCTCTCTTTGGAATTCAAACTTCAACTGCAAAATCAAAATGGACACAAGTCAAACGAGCAGCAGACCTTTCTATCAATTAGAATTTATGTTAGCTTTGGGGTATTAAATAATTTTCTTTGATGGTTTGGATTTGTTCAGTTACCTGCTTATTTCGTTACTCTATAATTTTGTTTTAATATTTTCCGAGTGTTTTACAGTGATACGGATTTTTCGTTGCTTTTCTCTAGTTAAATATGATATTTATTTTCATAAAAAATAGTGACTGCAATTAAAATCTAATTATTTGTTGAAATAATTGTAACGTTTTCTTTGAGATAAAATTTTGTGAAATGTCAAACACCAAAAGATGATTTAAAGCCGTTGTATTCGTAAGGGTGACCAAAAAAACACTATGTACGGATCTCTGTCAGGTTTGATTCCTAGTTTTATTTGTTCTTAAAATAAAATATTTCATTTTTCATGGTTGATGTTCATTGTAATTAACCTCAAAAAAGTTTGTTACATTATAAATTGGGTGCATAAAATGTTAGAGTATGTCCAAACATCAATCATATGATGATTGTAATAATATTTTTATTTACCGATTTTATTGAATAAAGGCATTGCCACTATTATTTTCATTTATATATATGTGTTTAACATAAACTGGAAGATAATAAGTCCATATAATGACATAATTGTTATTATTAAATGATTACTAGTCAAGTATTATTATGGGCATGGACAATAATAATACGCTTAAGACTAACATGTTATTGATTGATGATAATGAGTTGTCATTGACATAGAGATGTTAGAATTGATACATGATTATATTGTTAGAGAACAATGTATTGGATTGACCGACCATGAGCATATGCCTTGGATTATTATGTGACAGTCA